ATTTTTGCAAACGATTCCCTTATCGATTCCAGTCGACCCGAATGACGTCACCACGTTGCGGAGCATCATTTACCTGGCAGGAAACACGGCGCCTAAGCGGCTCAAACGCTCAAAAGTTTGATTATACTTTAAGAGAACGGATGACAAACAGGGCAACTTGCAATACTTGCAAAGTAGATATTTCATTTAAGAGAGGAAACACTACGAATATGCAAAAGCATTTGCTCACAAAACACGCAATGACCTTAAATGAATGTCGTGATTTTAATTCCGCTCCGGACTCGTGAATCTCAACCCAGCAGCAGCGGTAACGTTTGCACGTCCTCTCCCGTTAATGCGGCAGGTAAATAATCAACTAACAGCGCATATTATGTTAGCGCGATCTGCCTTATTACAAAACCTTCCATTACTGTGCATTTAGGTGACCATGATGAGAGAGACAGACAGAGTCTGGCTCAGATGTTGGCAGTTCTCGCTGCAGTCTACCGTTAGCGTCTCCTTTCAGGCCAGGATAGACGAATGTCACCGAGCAGTGACTCAGTTTGTGGTAAAAGGCTTGCACCCATTTGCCACAGCAGATGCCCCGATTTTCGGTAAGTGAATGTGTTTAATTGTAGGCAGGGACATTACTGGATATTCTTGTGTAATTGCCACAGAATAATTTATGTTATACTTTGTTATTGCTACAGAAGAATATTTATTTTATTATTTTACATTTACATTTTTTTTTTCCTGGGGACCCTGTGACACCCGATTGAAGAGCCATAGGCTGGATCTCTTAAGATCTCACTGTTGGGTTTGTAAGGCCATGTTACTCCTAAATTTCTACCTTGTTCAAAGAGAAGATATAAAAGAAAGTTCTAAGCTAATCGACCTCTGTGTTCTCCTTTTTTTTTTTTAAAAAGAATCGATAAGAGAATCAATAAAGAATCAAATCGTTAAACAGAATCGAAAATGGAATCGGAATCGTGAAAATCTTATCAATACCCATCCCTTATCCTGAGGAAAGAAACATTTCACAAGTGATTGACATTTAGAGAAATATAACTGCGTTGATGCTTTTCAGCAAACTATTCTATAAAGTAACACAGTGACCTATATTAAAAATCCATGTAAAACCTCTAAGATACTATAAGGCAGTTGTTTCACTTCTTCAGTGGCGTGTCTAGAAAATTTTTGTTGGGGGGGCCAGGTAGGGGCACAGATTTGGAGAAGGGTGGCAGATGTAATTGGCAGATAATGTTAAAAACAATTCTATTAACCATAATTCAATAACCCTGTAAACCTAATAACCGAATGCGCTTTTAACTCTTATTAGAATGAGATTTTAACCACTACTGTGCAAAGTTTTTAGATACTGCGTTGCTAAAGGACAAGAGATACAATCAGTGTTTTGTCAGTGTTTACTCAGCATTCAAGGACAGCAATATTTGCATAGTATTTTTACTGACATATAGTACACATATGTTTTGGGCAAAAACATTTTTTAATATTAAAATATGAACATTTGTAACAAACAATTGACAAATTAGCCAATGCAAAACTTTATCTGCCTGTTAAAAAAAGAAGATAATCTTCTCACAAACTGGTGTTTGATTGTGAAACAGGAAAAAAGTGGGGAAACAACTGAAAAGACTAACATTTGAATAAAACCTAAAGGCAAGTAAATACTTTCTATGCTGCCTTATGGTAAACTTTGGTAATATTGATAAAGAACAACACTGGCTGATGATGAAATCCAGTCAGCTGGCATGGTGACACTGCCAGTATTAACCTGCAGGGCTGGACTGGGACAGAAAATCGGGCATTTTGACTAGAGACGGGCCCCCCAGGTATTAAAGCCATAAAGCCTTTGACTGAAAACAAATGCTGTTGTGACAGTGATGTACAGTCTTGTTGGTATATGTATGATTTCTATACATTTTACGTCAGATAAAAACTTTGGTTGTAAGATTTAGATAATTATTTAATAAAAGCTAGATATTTTAAATGAGAATAAGAAAGAAAAGTATTTCTTTGTGCCCCACCTTTCCCTGTTAATGCCCTACCTGCCCCCTGGCAACACTTTGCTAGATCCGCCCCTGCACAGTTACCAGCTGTCAGCTGCTTAGAAAAGGATGCTGGTGTTATTTGTCTCTCAGAAACAGTTCATAACTTCCCTTCAACTCATTCATGTCACCTAAAAGGTAAACCTGTTTCTCCATCACAGCTCTGATGATCCAGTAAGGACATCTCCTGGTTTCATCTTCATGTTTCCCTCTCACCACATATCCAAACCGACATCATGACCAGCAGCTTTACAGCTGTGGCTCCAGCAAACATCAGCTGATACTAGAAATTAATATTAAATAAATTCTAACAACAGCTGATCAAGCTTAAACGTGCTGCTGTTGTTTAGCGCGACATCCGCTGGTTTCCTCTTTCTGGCACAAAGTGGGCGATAAATAAACAAGAGAGACGATCAGCTGATCATTGATCAGTTTCATGATTGAAGTAGCAACAGGAGAGGGAGGGGAGAGAATGAGAGGAGAAGAGGCAGCTGTGCAGCGTAAACAGAATAACTCCAGCTTTGTGTCTTTTTCCATTCTAGCTGAAGTTCGGGACAAACTGCGTCTCTTCTCAGCTCAATACGAAACGTGTAATATTTTCTCTGATTGAGGGACCATTCCATTTTTTTAAGGAGCCGTTGGCAACTCTACTAACTAACCTTATGAATAAAATAAAGTTCACTATCAGTAACATGATAGCACCCACCCACCTAAAAACTCCATCAAGCTGGCTAGAACGCAGTACGAGTTATTGCAACTGAGGGTAAAAAGTCAGCACAACGAAAATAAACTCCACCTAAACTTGGTTCATATCTGACCCAGATAGACTGCATCTCATAACTTCTTACCTGAAGTTCAGTTCACCTGACACTCGGACTGGCGGCTGCCTCGGGCTCTCCTCCTGCCTCCCCTTCCCTCATCCACCTGTTGCCTCTGTGGAAGCCCCGTCATAGCCACCACCAAACAACTGAGTCATTTTTACACATCGACCTGCATCTGGCCAATCCACCACCTCTCATTGTTCATGCCATTACAAAAAAAAATAAAAAATAAGTCACCGGGCACATGCCCGGTATGCCCGATGGCCAGTCCAGCTATGTTAACCTGCAACCAAATCTGCAGCTCCATACAGCAATGTTACGACTTAGATTATATCTTATAACTCATAACTCTTATGTTAGCTGCCCTCAGTAGCATACTGTCAGAAATATTCGAGGGCTGCAATAATTCTTCAAGTGTTATTTTTTTCCTTGGGATTCTAATTTCACCAAAGTTTACTAAACTCAACAAACTTAATATTACTTACCGGGACATTTATTCTGTCCTCATTTTCTTTCACCGAAAAATTGTTTCCTGCGGTGCCATCTTTCGTGCTTGGCTCTCCTACCTTTGCTAACGTGATGCACATAGCGCAGAAGCCGATGCTGCATTCACTTACACTCGGATATCTGAGCATCACCGTGAAAACATAATCGTACATTTGATATTTGATTGAATTTTATTGTTTTGCCTTTGGGGTGGCACCTGGGGTGACCAGTCTGGTTGGGGGGGTGGCCTGTGCCCCCCCAGGCCACCCCGCTGGACACGCCATTGCAAATCAAATCACTTTTATTGTCACATCACATGTGCAGGTACATTGGTACAGCACATGTGAGTGAAATTCTTGTGTGCGAGCTTCACAAGCAACAGAGTTGTGCAAAATACAATAATGTAAACAAGCAAAATACAAGAATGGCTACATCTGAAACTAATAAATATATGTACAATATATAATAGTATATGCATTTCTGGATGTGTATACTAAATATTTTTCTACGTGTGTGTGTGTGTGTGTGTGTGTGTGTGTGTGTACACATATTTTACAAATTAAATAGAGTAAACAATAAATAAAATATATAAAAATATACAGAGTTGAGACATGTTGAGACACTCTCGATTTTTGAGAAAATTAAAGGATTTTAAGTGTGCCTTATAGTGTGGAAAATACATTATACAGAAGAAAAGAATATATCGTGATATATATCGTTACCGCACATGCTTCAAATTATATGCGATATGAATTTTAGGCCATATCGCCCAGCCCTAATTTCAAGCATCCGTACGAACCCTGTATACGCTATTGTTTGTTTTGTGGTGTTGCAAAATAAACTGTTTATGGCAATATTTTTTTCATGGTTTTGATGGTCACTGTAGTTGCTATTTTATTTCTTAAAGTTCTCTCCTTCTCTTATACTTACAATAACCATACTATGGACGGACAAGCGACTGTTTTTACGCGTACTTTCGTTACCAACAATGACGGTAAAACCATTGTATGGCTCCACCATCCGCTTGTTTATTTTCCACATAAACCTTTCACAATAAAGCTCGAGTTTCTGTTGAGACTTTTCAAAATAAACTGAAATGATATATATTATTCTCAAACATAAAATTTCAGAATATGCAGCAAACAAATGACCTCAAATAAAAACATCAAGTAACTATAAAATGGCGCTTACAGTCACCATGCAGATGAAGGCACAGAGAATACCAGCAAGGATGAGGCAGAACCAGCTAGCTCCAAGCAGAAGGACCAGTCAAAACAAGTCGAGGACCTTGTTGTTAAACCAGGCGCCACCTCTGTAGCATGGACATGGTTTGGTCATGAAAAGTCTGACACGGCCCAGAAAACTGTACTATGCAAATTATGCCACAAACTGGTCCCCACCACCACTCAAACACGACAAACTTCTTTAACCACCATTTTAACCACCACTTCTTTAACATGTAATGTATTTACATTACATTAATGTATTTAAAAAACATCGCATGAGAAAGTGTGTCCACCTTCTCATGTAATGTTTTTTAATTATTTTTGCTACTTTTTACATTGTATATACATACTGAAGACATCAAATATTGAATTGAATAAAAATAAAATTGAATTGAAATATATACAGACAAATGGAAGTTCGGGAATAAATTTATTGAGATATATACCCATAGCATGCAAAATATCACACAGAAAGTACTTTAAATATTTTTAAAAAACAGTTAAAGTGATGCTTTTTCATAATCAAAAACTTACATACAATCACAATTAAGTCATCTGTGTATACAGTGGCATTTGTATACACAACACACTAATTCACAGAAATGAGTCATACTGTTTAAAAATGCAAGCTTTTGCTTTCAGTGAATGTTCATAGTGTCTTAGATCCAATCATTTACCACCCAGTACTAACACAGAAGTGACTAAAGTCAGTTTTCATTCTATACGAAAAGAGTTGTAACAGTTCCAACACACTGCCCTTACTTCCTTATTAACAATCAATATATATTCATCAACAATCATGTAGTTCGGGGCAACTAAGATCCTTTGATTCCCTGTTTTAGTTTAACAGGATGATATAGAACCTTTACAGCTTACCAGACCAGAAAAAAATGAACCACTTGTGGCTTTTCTGTAACTGTAAAAAAGTCAACAAAAATAAAATGACACGAAAAGAGAAAATGTTAAGATTTAAATACAGATTCAAGAAAGAAAGTTCAGAAATACAGTTCTGTTTGATTTTTGGTTGTTCACATGAATACCTACAGAAAAACATTAATGCAGTTTTAACACGCAGTTATGCATTTTTGCTGAAATTTACTACAAAAGATAGAAAAATAGTTTTTGTGTTACAGTTGGCAGCAGAGTGGATGGGCTCAGAGATGATAGTAATGAGGAGTGGTTGGTGCAGCCAAGTCACATGATTAAGCAGGCTGTCTTGGCGGTGTGAGGCGCTCTCTGCGAAATCAACCAAATCTATAATCAAACTGTTTTATAGCACACATCGGAAACATTCATTTTTTCAAAAACTTGTATTTTGTTAAACTGTACCAAATCCCAACAAGTGTGACCCAGAATACTAGACTTGTCACATACATAGTTTTAGTTTGAAAGTCTGATACACAAAAATTATTCTAGAAATCCACATACATTTGAAGTGACATGAATCATGTCAAACTTGCCTCAGTTCCACTGTTTTGAAGGCAGATGAATTTGCCACCTCTGTCAATCTCGTCAGTATAGATGGGTCCTGTGGCTGAGGCAGTGTGCACTTTTGACATTGAGCTGCTGGCGTTTTGTTCCCCTATGTCAACACGCTTCCGCTTTCCCTGAGTGGTGCACACACTTCCACTGCTGGATGAGCCTCGAGACATGGTTTCATGAGATGAAGGACTTTGAGACAGCTTTAGCCTAAAGAAAAGCAAAGTTAAAGAGTTCTGCGTTATCAAAGCTTTTCAGAAGGGATGTCAAAAGATGAGCCAAAATTTTTGTTTCCTCACCTTTCTTCTTCTCCTTCCAGAAGCTTACGATAGATGTTTATCTCCATGTCCAGGGCAAGTTTAACATCAAACAACTCCTCATGCTCATGAAGTTGCTGCTGCATCTTTGCTTGGATCTCAGCCACCTCACGTTCTTTGTCTGCTAGCATTTTGCGGCTCGTATTTTTTTCCTTTACCAATGCTGCCTCCAGCTCTGCTATACGTTCACGCCAACCATGAGTCTCAATATTTGCAAAGAAGACAGAGGTGAACAAGCAAGTCCACAGTGTCATTCAGCAGTGCTTTAATTTTGTTAGCTTTGTGATCTGCGTGACAGCATTGTTCAAATGTATTTGGTAAATTTCTTTAGGATTTAGGTTAATACTAATCAGTATTGAAATGTAAGTAAGTTAGGATGTTGGGGTTTTTTGTTTTTTTTTACTTTAACTTTAAACACAGGTAGTTTTGTAGAGCCAGATTCTTTGGCATGTAAGTTATATTTTGGCATCATTTTTTTCATGACATCTTAAAAATGTCATAGGATTGGATGGGCTACAGTAAAAAATAGAGTTCTGACATGATCAGTATTTATGTCTCTAAACTTCTGCAGCTATTATGTCAATGTATAGAAGACAGTTGTAAAAACTCATACTGATAGCTATCGAGACAGTCATTATATGACATCAATCTTCTAAATTAAGAAACATTGAGGCAAACACCTATTGCTCTACAAGTCTATACATTCTTGCGACATTGGAATATGTATTATTGTATTGAAATTGTAAATGAAGAGCATTAAAAAAATCTCTCTGAATATCATATCAAAGTTTCATCTATTAATAGCTTCCTGAATTCTCTTTCCCTACTCATGCATGCACTTAACTCAGGGTGAACATATGTAGAACACTACTCTGATCATCCCTTATGGAACTGCAAACTCACCATCAATGTTAATCAGCTCAGTTTATTTCTAAACTCAGATCATTTAACATCCTTCCTGTAATGGAACCATGGTCTGTACTCACACTTAGAACTAAGAAACACAGGCATTTTGGCTGACAGAAATTAAAGCCTTATACGTAAGATAAAAAGCCAACCTCCTTCTGCAGATCAACTAGCTGCGCAGTGAGGCTCTCGATCGTAAGGGCAGACTCTCTGAGCTCCCCCTGAGCCATGTTGGCTGATGCGGCTTTCATCTATGATAAGCGATGCAGATCTTCTGGCTGGAGACAAATATACAAATGTTTCCAGATTCAACAACAGCAACAGTTTCACACCCTGAAAGAGGAACTAAGTGCCGTCAGTGACTTCCTGACATACAGGAAGTTATGTTTACAGTTCTCTTCGCTTTCGTATGGGTGCTACTTTAACATGTTACTTTCTCTGCATGAGCAGACTTCAGCTGGTATCAACATACCGCATTCTGCAGTATATTGTCAATAACTGTTTAACATTCTGGTGTCTACAGCAGATTGCATTCAGTTGATTTCATCTTCAGATCTTAAGATTTTAATTAATCAGACACAAATTTTCTACTAAAGTAAAATACTACATTTAAAAAGCCCTTAGAAAAGACACCAAATAAGAACAAACATTGTTGTAACTGTACATAAAGAGCCTGATGTAACCGGATAGTCCAGTAGATTCCTTCACGCAACAGCTTGCATGATAGCTAATATACAGGACAACAGCTTCAAGCACAGCTTAATAGTGATTGTAGTAAGCAAATCTCAGTTTCAACTGTGAAGGGAAGACTTCAAGCTTGACAGGACGAGTTGCAGCTAGAAAGCCATTGCTAAGACGTCAGAATAAGACAGATAAGCTTGCCTGGGCCTTGTACCACCACCAGTGGACTTCTGAAGACTGAATCAAAATTTGAAATCTTCAGTTCATCACACAGGATCTTTGTACAGCATAGAGTAGGCGAAAGGATGGTTCCACAGTGTGTGGCGTCAAATGTCAAACATGGAGGTTTAATGTCTCTAAATCGATTCCATGATTTGTTTGTTTTTTTTACTCCAATTGCTTATTTGTACTATGCTTTCATTTCAGAGTGCAATGAGACAAACTGCATAATTTTCAATAAAAATTTGGAAATATTGGGGTGTTCTAAAACTTAAAACCCCAATATCAAATAATACCATGTTCTAGCTATAAAAAAATTAAATTAAAAAAGAGAATAATTATAGTCATTATTATCTACTTTTTAAGTCTGAATCTTATTGTCTTAGTCTAAATTTGTTATAGTATTACAGAAATAATTGTTTTGTTATGGAGAATGTATACACTTTTACCTCGGTTACCTTTACTAATCAATTTGAGTTCATCTTCCAATGCTGACAGAAGACTAACTGCTTGGTGCCATTCTTGTGCTTCTGTAGACTGCAAGAAGAAGCAGAGTCCTCAAGTTTTTTACTTAGTGATTTCGAAATCATTTGTACTCTGGGGCTTGGGGGCTTCAGTCATGTGTAGCTGGTAGGGTGTAGATATGATATAATATGATGTTGCTGTCGATGAGTAGTTATATGCTTTATGTGTTTTTGTGCATTCAGGTTCATTTAAAGAATGATCGTAATAGATCATTAGAGTTAAAGGAACATCACATCGTGGACCCCACCCAGCAGGGTCATATCTTCTCTGAGCGTCGCATCATAATGGAGGTCCACAGTCCATTTACTATCCGGTCAGACTGACCTTTCATAGTGTATGAATTATTCTGATGCAATTCAAAATGTGCTACGCTGTTTCAGAACATCAAAATTATTCTCAAAATGATCAATAATATTTTTTTTCTTGATGTCGCAATCATACCCCTTCGTAGAGTGAGACAGGCAATCTATGTTGCCTGTGAACAATCAATGAACAGAGGGCTTGGCTTACTAGAACAACTGACATCACCTACAGTGCTGTTTTGAGATCCCCCACTCATATCTGGCATCAAGTGATCTCAATCTATAGACCAGATAAGATGCTTATCATTATACAAAATTATACAGAACAATTATACAAAAATTATACATTATACAAATGTGTAAAACAAAATTTTAGTCCACTCTCAAGATCCAATTGAATTGAATTCAGTTTTATTTTTTATAAAAAAATTAATGGTTTTTATCCTGTGAAAAGTGCTATATAAATAAATTGATTAGATTTGACTATTTATGCAGCAGCAAATCACAACAACTGTCACCTCAAGGTGCTTTATATTGTAAGGTAGACCCTGCAATAATACATACAGAGAAAAACCCAACAATCATATGACCCCGTATGAGCAAGCACTTTAGCAACAGTGGAAGGAAAAACTCCCTTTTAACAGGAAGAAACATCCGGAAGAACCAGGCTCAGGGAGGGGCGGCCATCTGCCGCAAACAGTTGGGGTGAGAGAAGGAAGCAGGACAAAATGCATGCAGTGGAAGACAGCCAGAGATTGATAACAAGTGTGATTCAGTACAGAGAGGTAACAAAGTGAGTGATAAAGGTGACTGACAAAGAAATACTCAGTGCATCATGGGAATCCCCCAGCAGCCTATTGCAGCATTACTAAGGGTAGCCCAAAGTTTTAAGCCTAATCTTAAAAGTAGAGATAGTGTCTGTGTCCCGAATCAAACTGGAAGCTGGTTCATAGAAGAGGGACCTGAAAACTGAAGGCTCTCCCTCCCATTCTACTTTTAAATACTCTAGGAACAAGAAGCCTGCAGTGTGACGGCGAAGTGCTCTAATGTGGTGATATGGTACTATAAGGTCATTAAGATAAGATGGGCCTAATTATTTAAGACCTTGTATGTGAGGAGCAGGATTTTGAATTAAATTCTGGATTTAACAGGGAGCTGAAGGGAAGCCAATACAGGAGAAATATGCTCTTTCTTTCCAGTCCCTGTCACTACTCTTGCTGTAGCATTTTGGGTCAACTCAAGGCTTTTCAGTGAGTTTTTAGGACCTCCTGATAATAATGAATTACACTAGTCCAGCCTAGAAGTAATAAATGCATAAATGATTTTTTTTTTAGCGTCACTCTGATTCTAGAGATATTGTGCAAATGTAAGAAAGCAGTCAATCAATTTTTGGCAAATACAGGAAATCAGTTTTTGTCAGCCGATCACTTTTTGGCACAACACCCGGTCGTGCACGTCTTGATTTCTGCTTCAAGGCACTGCAGCGCGTCCGCATGTGGGTGAGAGCCCCTCTCCCCTGTCTGTCTGACCGAAAAGTGTACGAAGACGGACAATTTTGGGGGACCATAAATCCTGCAGATTAAGCATTGACCATTGGTCATTTTCAGTACTCACAATTAATTGCCCAATCAAATTACTAAACATAATTACATATTGACATAATTAGAGAGAGATTATAGTCAAATAAATAGCTGCTTTGACAATGAGCCACTGCTGGTAGCTGTGTCTGTTCTGTTTGGACTGATCATTCATGCTGGGGCGCTTACACCAAGAAATCCGTTTGTTTGTTTTTTGTCCCAGGGCAGACCCGCCTCCAGCTGGACCAAGGCCCTTCGACCAGCCAATGAGATGCTACGTTACGTACGCACGCACGAACGTACAGCCTGAGTACGTGCCCGGTTGCATGGTTTGTGCTTCCACTGTTTTCTATGTTGTCGCGTATTATTCACCTTCTTATGGGTGTTATCTCGTGTTTAAGGAGCTTTGGAGCGTAGCACGGCTTGACTGTGGCGTGCGAAAACAGTTAGCCCAGTGAAAAAGATGTGATAGGCAGACAGGCTAACGACTTGTGAACAAGCTGCTAGCTACTTTTAGCTTGTTAAGCTCAGCTGGAAAAGTCCGGTTCTGCCAAATATGGTTAGAAGAATCACTAGTTAGCAGCAAGGTTACTGCTGTTCTTGGCGTTTTAGTGCTGTTCTGAGGAGATACTTTACTCGGACAGTTAAATCTTAACGTCTTCATCTTGCAACACGGAGCGAGCGTGGTGGTGACCGTCCTTGACAGCTGTGTGCGCGTGGATCTCACTTGACTGTGAAACATCTGTCGAGTACTGACAGGAGTCAGTATGTGCGCTCCCTAACAGCTGCACTACGCAGGACCCTGAGTAACTCTAACCGGACCTTTGTGAAGTTTTTGGTTGTAGGTTCATTTAATAAGGATGGCTCGCCGTTCGGTGCTGTGCCACGGGAGTCGAGCCATCAGCCTGCTGTATGGAAACACTCTTCGCCCCCTCCACGCTTCACTGTGCAGCGCATCACCACAACCGAAAGCTGGGTTCAAACCAGAAAAGGTAGCAGTGGTCACAAAGACTACGCGGTATGAGTTTGAACAGCAGCGGTATCGCTATGCAGGAGTTTCTGAAGAAGATCTAAAGCAGTTGGTAAGACTGCATTCATGTGACTACCACAAAGCAAACACGCCACTTTACATTCTACCCTTCACCCAGTGTTTTACTTAATCTGTGTTCTACAGCTTGCTATGAAGGGCTCCAGCTACAATGGCCTTCTGGAAAGACACAACATCCACACTAGCAACGTGGAGCACATTGTGAAGAGCCTGCAGTAAGATACCGTCCAACAGCAATGTTTCTTAGAGAAATGGGAAGTGCTTGCAGCTGGGACTCTCTTTGTATTCTGTTTGTTTTCAGGAGAGAAGGCATTACTGTACAAGTGGTAAAAAGAGGAGAATACAATGAAGATGTAGTGCGGTGGGCAGATACCATTATCTCTGCTGGAGGTAGGAATATTTTGTCATCCTAGGTATCATTTGTACAACAAAGCTGTCTGCTTGGGAGAGTAATTCATTGTAAATGTAGAACATCAATAATATATGGCTTATATGGTCATTACCAGTATATATTCTGTTAATGTAATAACCACAGAATAAAAGGTTCTTCCTTGTCTTTCACTCTCTTTGTTCTTTAACAAAATCCAAGTTCAGTAACTGGAATTGTGTGGGGGTTTTTTGTTTTTGTTTATTAGGTGATGGAACAATGCTACTTGTGGCCAGTAAGGTTTTTAGCAAAGACAAACCAGTCGTTGGAGTTAACACAGACCCTGAAAGGTAAAGCACAGAACAGACCATTGTTGGATATGAATTGTATTGTTAAATTAAAGTGGACCTATTATGTTAGTGTACAACTCCATATTTTTGTTGTTGGGCTAGTTCTGCATAGAGCTGGGCAATGTAGACCAAATTATTATCACTATTAATGTTTTTTTTCTATATTAAACAATTTTGGTAATTATTGATATAGATGTAGGTACATGTTAGTATTCTAAGCTAGCTGTTTGTTTTAATACAAATTGAAAGTTGAAGA